AGCAGACAGGGGGCGGTCAGCAGACAGAGGACGGTCACCAGGCAGGGGACGGTCAGCAGACAGGGGATGGTCAGCAGACAGGGGACGGTCAGCAGACAGAGGACGGTCACCAGACAGGGGATGGTCAGCAGACAGAGGACGGTCACCAGACAGGGGACAGTCAGCAGACAGGGGATGGACAGCAGACAGGGGACGGTCAGCAGGCCAGGGACGGTCAGCAGACAGGGGACCGTCACCGGGCGGGGGGCGGTCAGCAGGCAGGGCATGGTCACCAGACAGGGGACGGTCAGCAGGCAGGGGACGGTCAGCAGACAGGGGATGGTCAGCAGACAGAGGACGGTCACCAGACAGGGGATGGTCAGCTGCAGGGGACGGTCAGCAGGCAGGGGACGGTCACCAGACAGGGGACGGTCAGCTGCAGGGGACGCTCAGCAGACAGGGGACGGTCAGCAGGCAGGGGATGGTCAGCAGACAGGGGACGGTCAGCAGGCAGGGGATGGTCAGCTGCAGGGGACGGTCAGCAGACAGGGGACAGTCAACAGGCAGGGGACGGTCAGCAGGCCAGGGACGGTCACCAGACAGGGGACGGTCAGCAGACAGGGGATGGTCACCAGACGGGATGGTCAGCAGGCAGGGGACGGTCAGCAGACAGGGGATGGTCAGCAGACAGAGGACGGTCACCAGACAGGGGACGGTCAGCAGGCAGGGGACGGTCAGCAGACAGGGGACAGTCAGCAGACAGGGGACGGTCACTGGGTGGGGGACGGTCAGCAGGCAGGGGATGGTCACCAGACAGGGGACAGTCAGCAAGCCAGGGACGGTCAGCAGACAGGGGACGGTCAGCAGGTGAGGATGGTTACCAGACAGGGGACGGTCAGCAGGCGAGGATGGTCAACAGGTGAGGATGGTCAGCAGGTGAGGGACAGTCACCAGGTGAGGACAGTCAGCAGGCAGGGGACGGTCAGCAGGCAGGGGATAGTCAGCAGGTGAGGGACGGTCAGCAGGTGAGGATGGTCAGCAGGTGAGGGACAGTCAGCAGGTGAGGATGGTCACCAGGTGAGGGATGGTCAGCAGGTGAGGGATGGTCAGCAGGCAGGAATGGTCAGCAGGTGAGGGACGGTCACCAGGTGAGGACGGTCAGCAGGGGAGGATGGTCACCAGTTAAGGACGGTCAGCAGGCAGGGATGGTCAGCAGGCAGGGATGGTCAGCAGACGGGATGGTCAGCAGACAGTGGATGGTCAGCAGGTGAGGATGGTCAGCAGGTGAGGGATGGTCAGCAGGCAGGGGATGGTCAGCAGGTGAGGATGGTCAGCAGGTGAGGGATGGTAAGCAGGCAGGGGATGGTCAGCAGGTGAGGATGGTCAGCAGGTGAGGGACAGTCACCAGGTGAGGGACAGTCACCAGGTGAGGACGGTCAGCAGGCAGGGATGGTCAGCAGACAGGGGATAGTCAGCAGGGAGGAGATGGTCACCAGGTGAGGATGGTCAGCAGGTGAGGGACGGTCAGCAGGTGAGGGATGGTCAGCAGGTGAGGGGCGGTCAGCAGGTGAGGGATGGTCAGCAGATAGGGGATGGTCACCAGGTGAGGATGGTCAGCAGGTGAGGGACGGTCAGCAGGTGAGGGATGGTCACCAGGTGTGGATGGTCAGCAGGTGAGGGACGGTCACCAAGTGAGGACGGTCAGCAGGGGAGGATGGTCAGCAGGTGAGGACGGTCAGCAGACAGGGGATGGTCAGCAGGCAGGGGATGGTCAGCAGGCAGGGGATGGTCAGCAGGTGAGGATGGTCAGCAGGCAGGGGATGATCAGCAGGTGAGGATGGTCACCAGGTGAGGACGGTCACCAGGTGAGGACGGTCAGCAGGGGAGGACAGTCAGCAGGCAGGATGGTCACCAGGTGAGGATGGTCAGCAGGCAGGGATGGTCAGCAGGCAGGGATGGTCAGCAGACAGGGGATGGTCAGCAGACAGGGATGGTCAGCAGGTGAGGATGGTCAGCAGGCAGGGATGGTCAGCAGACGGGATGGTCAGCAGGTGAGGATGGTCAGCAGGTGAGGATGGTCAGCAGACGGGATGGTCAGCAGGTGAGGATGGTCAGCAGGTGAGGGACGGTCAGCAGGTGAGGGATGGTCAGCAGGTGAGGGATGGTCAGCAGGTGAGGGATGGTCAGCAGGTAGGGGATGGTCAGCAGGCAGGGGATGGACAGCAGGTGAGGGACGGTCAGCAGTGCAGATGAGGGTTTGCAAAGCTCCCTTTTAAAAGCAGGGATTCTTCACTTAGGGTTCTTGGTTTTGATGGCATAATTTCTGGAGAAGCCTCAATGGGAAGAAAACCTGGCAGAGCTTTGTAGAATAAGTAAACAAGCAGACAGACAAGCAGACAAGCAGAAGGGCACAGGGTGGGTCTTCTCAGAGGGAGACACAGACACACTGGGCTCTTTGACATCAGGAAATATATGTGATAAAGGGGGTCTGACTTAAAGTCATGCAGATGGCGTTTGTCTTTGTTCTAATTACTCTTGGTGTTGCTCTGCTACCACTTGGGCTCAGGATCTCTGAGACCAACCTGCACTTTAAATAAATAACCAGTATGTTTGGGCATCCCTTTTAGGAAAGAATGCTTTCTGCCATGTATTTTAAAACTGGTGTTTATCCTGGAGATAGAATGTGTCCTGCCATAGTGCTCATCCTTTGAGGTAAGCACTTTGTTCCAGGAGTTTTGAAGGAATCCAAGGGTTAAAATTAAGACGATAGTGCCATATACTTTCTAAATTCATTTTCTTTTCTTTTTTCTTTTTGTCAGTCCTGGGACTTTAACTCTGGGCTTGGGCGCTGTCTCTCAGCTCTTCAGCCCAAGGCGTGTGTGTGCTCTACCGCTTGAGCCACAACACCACTTCCAGTTTTCTAGTGGTTTATTGGAGATGAGTCTCACTGACTTTCCTGCCCGGGCTGGCTTTGAACCCTGATCCTCAGATCTCAGCCTCCTGAATAGCTAGGATTACAGGCGTGATCCACCGGCACCGGGCTGCTTTCTAAATTCTTAGATGCCGTTTGCCTTACTTTCCCTAGTGTATCCTGTCTAATTTTCCCCTAAAATGACTTTGGTCCCTTAATCTTAAGGGAAGTTGATGGGTGAGGATCAGTCTCCTATATTTGCTTTAAACTGAGTTTTTAACTTCCTGCCATTTGCCATACCTCATTTTTCCTAGTCTATCCTGCTTCCGTGTTTCTGCTGCCCAGAGGCCCTTCTTGGAAGTTCATTCATATCCACAGCACCCAACATTAATTTTCCTCCCTTTTCATTCTACAGGTTTGTACATCTCTAAGAAGCAAGAAAGTTTCCCCTCTTGTTACTTACTTACCAATTTACCAACTATTTCAGCCACTACCTGTACTCATTCTATCTCCAAATACATTTTAATGTTCTTACTAAAAAATAACATTATTGAACATGACTATCACATGACAGATATTTAGCCCTGCATGTCTGCTGATGAGCTGTATTGTCTGTCCACTTTTCTGATTGTTACTCCATACATATCTTTGGTCTATCATATAGATAACTGCTAGAAATTGGGACAGTTTCTATAGTCTGGCATCTGTCCATTGTTGAGATTTGGGGTAAAGAATAAGATCTTTGAAGTCCACAAGGAAGAAGATATTTTGTCTTAACCCAGTCACTAAACCTCAGTGTTACAAAGGAACTCTGTTGATGCCCAGTTCAGAGTTCCCAAGCTCTAAGTGAGGAAGTGACCTTCTCAAGGTCATGCAGCTCAAAGGCCACAAGAGACTTAGATGGGTGGGGAGTGTTGAGGAAAGGAGCAGAGGAATGGGTCTTTTGGGCCTTCACTCACTCTGTTTCTCAGTACTCAATATGTTAAATGCCCAGAAACATTGATTGTGGATAAATGCCCCCCTTCCTAAGTAAACATCTGAAATGGATCAGTTAGTCATTGTTGAATACAGAATGGCATTTACACAACACAGTGGTCTTATGCTAATTATGAGAGTTGGCAGACTGTAACCAGTTAACAGGCTTAGGAATTTCACTCAACCTTTAAACAACCTAGAACTTTTAAATGCCAAAGGAAGCTGTTAATTTTGAAGGTGAGGTTTGCATTAAAAAAAAAAAAAATGGCACAGCCAGATGCTGGTGGCTCCCACCTGTCATCCTAGCTACTCAGGAATCTGAGATTGGAGGATTGCTGTTCAAAGCCAGCCAGGGCAGGAAAGTCCTCCAGACTCTTATCTCCAGATAGCCAACAAAACCCAGAAGTGGCGCCTTAGCTCAAGTGGTAGAGTGCTATTCTTGAGCTGAAGAGCACAGGGACAGTGCCCAGGCCCAGAGTTCAAGCTCCATGACTGACAAAAACAAAACAAAAACATTGACACATGCATGGAGATTTAGTACAGTGTGAGTGCAAGGTCCCTAGAACTGACCCAGGGTTGATTCTCTGTTTTTGAGACAGAGTCTCTCTATGTAGCCTAAGCTGGCCTCGATTCTTTGGTGCATGTTGCCTCTGTGCATCAAGTGCTGAGACGAAAGGCTTGTGATACCATCCCTAGCATGACACCCTCACCCTCTCAGATAACCGTCTAATATAACCACTACTGTTATTGTCATTGTGCATAAGTATTAAGTCATGGAAAGACATAAGAAAAAACTAACTGCATATTACTGAATTTTTATGAAGCTAATCTGCACCACTGTGTGGTCCCCAAAATATGTATTTTGGAAAAGGCAAAGCTATGGAGTGAGTAAAATGTTCAGATGTGGTCAGGAAAAGGTGGGGACCAAGGGAAGAATAGAGTGAGGACAGATGATTTTAGGATAGGGAAAATATTCTGTATTTCTGTATGACATATAATGGTAGATCAGTGTCATACAGTTGTATAACCCATACAATGGACAAGAGTGAATCCTGATGTAAACTATGGTCTCAGGATGATGATGTATCAATGTTGGGTCATCAGTTGTACTAAGCATATGTTTCTGATGTAGTTGGTATTGGGAGAAGCTGTGCAGAGATTTATGAACGCTCACTGTACTTCTCACTCTGCTATTCTATGAACCTAAAACTACCCTAAAACTAAGATCCATTTTTTTTGGGGGGGTCCGGTTGTGGGGCTTGAACTCTGGGCCTGGGCACTGTCCCTCAGCTCTTCAGCTCAAGGCTAGCACTCTACCACTTGAGCCACAGCACCACTTCCGGCTT